TGGCAGTGATGGGGCAGAGAGTGGCTCCACACAAATCAAATAGCCACCAGGGAGATGAAAACCCTTTTTGTGAGCGACCTTTCTGATCTGGAAAGATGCAGGCCCACCTCTTTTGCTGGGAAATTAGGTTTCAAAGTTCTTTGGTTCTTGAAGTGTCAGCTTCAGACCTTCATAAAGTGATTTTTTTGGGTCACCACAAGGAATCAGAACTCTTTGCTGGGGCAATCTCACCAGACCTTTGGAAGGAGCAAAGTTTGCACCCTCAAAACCTAGAGCTAGAGTTTACTGAGAAACTGTAACATGTGCTGAGCGGGGAGCTAGCCATGTCTCTTCTGTCACACTGCCCTTGTAAATAGGTAAGCAATAACACAAGGACCAGGACAGCTGTAACGCACGTGAGATTTGGCTGCAAAGCAACACTTCTGGCTTGTGGGATACCTTTACCTGCGGCAGGGCTCCCCAGGTCCCCCAGCACAGGGGCCCTGGGAGGTCAGAGAGCTCCTGGGTTTCTGCTTGTGTTCCCAGGGTCTCTGGGAGACTTTCACAAAAATCCTCCCCCTGTCCCTGACCCACAGCACCTGCCACCCCTGGTCTCCACTGCCCTACGGTCTTCCCCAGAGCCCTGGATGCTGTGGTCCTGCCAAGCTGAATGTCCCACGGTGACCAGAGCTTCTAGCTCCCAGTCACCACATTAAGATGGACAAACCCTACCAATTAGATGGAGAAATAAATGTCTGGCGGAGCATCCACTTGGGATGTCTCCAAAACCACAGCTCCGAAATGTGTGGCTTTTCAGGCAGAGGTGCCATCGGCCCACTGCCCCTTCAGCTGATGTGGCAACATCTGTCCCCATCTCGCTATGGGATCAGACCTCTTCACCCAGAGGACAGAAAAGCATGGTGCAGAAGAGCTAGGCTCCTTTTCCTCACCCATTCAGATGAACTGGGTGGTAAAACCAGGCCACCCGTTTGCAATGGTCTTTCCCCATCAGCCACTGTTGTAGTAACATCAGAAATGTCAGGAAACTCCCCCAAAGAGGAAGCCTGCCCATGCCATACACCCAAACAGTTCATATTTGTAGCCAAAAAACACAGCAAGGAGCTTACTAATTGGCAAAAGTACTGATTTGTAGCACTGCCTTTATTTTAAAAGGCAGTTAGCACTGTGGAAGGATTCTCTCTGCCTCTTCAATATGCCACATTTGTTAGTTAAAACTTCAATTTATGGTTAACGTTATAACATGTCATGGCTCTGCAATTGAGTTGCTCTGTGGCATCAAGCAAACGGAGCCAGAGCAGAAGTCCCGAGAGATGTGAATGTGGAGGGAAATAGTGCTGTGAAATAAAATGGTACCCACTGAAAGGTAGTGGGGAGGTTTTCAGTGAAAGACTAAAACTCTGGAAACTGTAACTACTTGTGGTTTTCCCTTCCTGCTCTCTTGAGGGGTGGGACTTTTTGATTTGGGTATGGTTTTTTCTTTGCAGACAAGCAAAGTGCAAATCCCTTTAGGTGAGGGCTGTGCTTAGGGACAAAGTAGCAACGTCAAACAGCCTAGGGGAGACAAACCAAACTGGTCTGTGAACCACTTTGTAAACCCAATTTTGGGGCAGGGAAGACCCAGGGTTTCCATCAGGTAATGGGGACAGACGGGACGTGCATGGGGAGACGAACATGCTGGCCGGCCTGCTGCTTGGACTGGCCCCTGGGCTGGAGCACGGCTTTAACTTCATCACTGAGCCATGCAGTGACAACCACTTACCCTCACTCAGCTAAAGCAGAGATTGTGAGCACGTCGCCACTGTGACCACCCTGCTGATGGCTCCAGGCCACCATCTCAGCTGTTGCCATGCCCACTGCTGACAGTGAGCAGGAGATACTCTTTTGGGGGGCGAAAGAAAGTTTTCTTTTAGTGGTTGCAGAGGGCTAGGTGCTGGGTTCCTGCTCTTCATCGAGCCAGGCTGTCACCAGAGAGGTCAGAAATCATTTATTTTTAACGCTATGAATATGTAGAAACTTGTCTGAGCTTCTCCACCCAGTGGCCATGAATTTAGAAATGGTGTCAGAAATCACGGCATTCAGTATCCTGCGAATCGGGTCAGAGCTATAAATTTCTCTTATTGGTGTGTGAGCCATTTGCCATACATGACTTTCTGAATTTGTGGTCATTTCTCTCTCTACCCCTGTGTGCCGAGTGTATGACTGAGATTTTTATATTGCACCTCTGAGACACAAAGTCCTTCTGGTGCTTTTGCCTAGCATCCTAAACAGGCTCGCTCGCTCTCCTCCCTGTCCCCTTTGCTAATGGCTTCTGGCTACAGCCTGGCCCTTAAATCATGGGCTGCACCTGGACAGGCATAAACTGAGACTCTCCCCAGACAGAGGGTATTTGTCTAGAGCAGCGAGCGATGCGCCTCTGAACACACGTGGCTCAGCCTTGTGAGAACGGCTGCTCCCACACAGAGTCTGAGACAGGTTCTCCGACACAGGCATCGGAGCCTCTGCCCACAGGGGCAAGTCCTGTGAAGACCTTCGAAATGTTCAACGAGCCTTTTCAAGGACAGTCATTCTGAATACAAAGGAAGAAAACGTTCAGTGTAGATATCGTGGGGGGTATGTTAAAATGATCTGTGCATTGGGAGGAAAGCTTAAGCTAAGGAAGCTCACGTTGTGGGGACTGGAAGGCGGTGTTGCCGTCCACCCCCTCCACTTTACTGCCTGTGCTTTTCCTCCCCCACCTGTATCTGTTCTAGATACAAAAGCTTTTTTATTGCAAGACTATTTTTGCTCAGTGAATTAAAATGAAGCATTTGCAACCCCTCCTCCCCATTGCAACTGCTCCCAGCAGCAGTGATCCCTGACTGGTCCCAGCCCCTCTGGTCAGCCTGGGAAAGGAGGCAAGTGCAGCAGCAGGACAGAAGCAGGCTGTCACTAAAGCACAGCTCTGCTGAGATGCCCCCATGTATTGAAAGGGGGCTGCCATATTCTACAGATCTGCTCCCTCAGAGCCTGGTGAATCACTAAAGGCAGCAGATGTGACTAAGACGTTTCCTAACTAATTTTTAATCCTTTTGGCACAGCAGTGCCAACACACAAACATGAACTCTGTCAACGGGGCTGTTTATTAAATTCTGGTCTCGTTGCAGTGGTGCAACCCCATTGAGACAGTTTGGTGTATTAACATAAAACAAGAAAAGTGGATTTTCTCAGATGCCACTGAGAATCACATCTTGCCTGCAGGTTGCTGCTGAAAATGATACATCTGAAAATGATACATAGCTGTCATCTGAGCCCAATTACGAGGGTAGAGCAGGACATTTGAAACTGCACACTTCTAGGTTGAAGACAGAGCTGATATGGCCCCTACTATTAACTCACAGTCACTTTCAAAGCCAAGGTCTCCAGCAAACTATGTGTACCGCTTCGTTTTGTCCTTCCTTCCCAGCCAGCCAGAGGAATGAGAGCTAAATCCTGCCCCATCCAGTAGCTGAAGTAACCGCACCCAAAAGGGCCCATCAGAATAAGGTTTCTGTGCTTGTTAAATGTGAATCTTTGAGCTTTTTCGATTTAATCCTTTTCCAAGTGTATTGGGTTTTTTGGGGGGGAGGGGAGCGGTTAAATGGCAAGGTTTTCTGGATTTCTGACCTGTTGGTGCATATCTAGAGTGCTTACCATAGTCCATCAGGGCCCTGCCAGCACACAATCTGTATAGAAGCAGAGAGAAAGCACTTTTGCCATCATGATTTTTAACTATAAATTGCTGGAAGGTGATATTTGTGAGAACAGCACTAGGTTCATGTATTTAGCAGGGAATAGGCATCAGGCAAAGGAAATATCAGGAAATAGAGGGCTGGTGGTGCAGGATTATGAATGTGGAAACAGGTTAATGATAGAAACTCGTTTGTAGGTGCTAGTAGACATGAGCAAAGATAAGTTTTGACAGCAAAGGCTTCACAGCAGTTGTCCCAGAAGAACCCCTCTGAAGCTACGGCTAGGGCAAACGCCACTCGCTGTTGCCAGCGCAGACAGAAAGCAGAGGAGGCGAGAGCATCCCAGAAGATCTCAGCAGCTTTCTTTGCAGTTTTTTTTCCAAGCCTCCATGCACAGCTTCAGTGTTAACCCACCTTCTTCCCTATATTTTCAAGTTCCATAACCTTTTAATCAAAGGACCGCCCAGCCTTCAAAAACAAATCCAAGGACTACTATACTTTGAAGAAAGGATGGTCTTGTACAGCAACCACTTACAACCAAAAGAAAAAAAGTCATTAAATTTTGATTGTTATGGTAAAGAGTAGGACAGAGGCTAGAAAGTCATAACTGCTTTATTTTGTTCCTTAGAGATAGGGAACTGCTCATCTGGCTTTAAATAAATCATAACAGTAACTTCCTGATGGCCTCTTGTCTCCCAGCTTCAGAAGTGTTTCTGAACCAGCTGAAGGCTCCTTTCTTGCTAAGGGCTTTTGTCTTGCTCCCTCATAGAGCTTTGTGACTAAGCTTACGCTATTTTGTGGAAGGAAGTAGATGCATTAGTGAGTGCAGTGCCTCTTGGCTGAGGTTAGGTTTATTTGAATGCACTATTTCTAAAGTGGTCAACTGATCACTTATTGACCATTTTACTTTACATGTGGTCAAGGGCTGCAGTCCACAGTAAGTCAGTCTACCTTCTCCCACTTAGTCCCCCTCTGCTATGTAACCACCTCCTAAGTCTATCGTCAAGCCATGCTTGTTTCACTAGTGATGCTACTCTGCATCTTCCCAGCCCTGGAAGTGCGGTGTTGAAGGACAGCACAGAAGTGCTTTTTCAGCCCTCCAGCTGCTGACCAGCTTTGGCAGTAGAGGGGTGTGAGCAAGCGCAGGGTTCAGTGTCTCTGGTATGCCTCTTAAGGACTTAAGTTGCCCCCCCTGAGGCCCAGAGCACTAATCTTTCTGCTGGGATGAGTCTTCCTCTCGGGAAGGTGCAAGCTGCAATCCCCACGCCTGTGGGGATGAATCAAGTCTATTACTTGAACGTAGACATGGATCAAATGCATCTAGCTTCAAGTCTGCTTTCCAATTCTGACCCCAGCTGTGAAGCATTAAGTGCTGCAGTATCTCTTCAATATGGCTAAGCCACATTCATTCCTAGTGACTGCTGCTTGCAGGATTCACCGTTGTGGTGAGGGATGCCTTGAGACCAGAGCTAGTTTGCCTGGTTCCTGGGGCAGCGAGGGTGCTCAGACTGAAGCTGTTGGTCAGTACAGTGAGGCTGCTCCCGTTTAAAAGGAAAAAAAAAACCCCAAAACCCAAGAAACCACTGCAAGAACATGACATCCCCCCCTTCTGGCAGTTTAGGTCTAGCAAACTTAATCCAGGAAGAATTACAGCCCATGCTGTTACCCCCTGAAATGCAGAGCCTGCTTGTTTCTGCACAGTTGTCCCCAGCCAATGCTCAGAGCTGTAGAACATTTTAAAGATCCCATCCACACAACAAGGTGGGATTATAACTGTGTATGCTCTGTTTTGTTTATAACACTGAGGAGCGCTCTGACTAAACACACCTGTCTCTTCCCAGCCATCATTAACCAGTTATTCTTCTTTCAGCTCAGCTTCAGTCTGCCACTTAACCATTAACTGTGTCTGTACCTAAAAATTATTTGAAATGAAACATTCAATTATTACTGAGCTTAAACACCCAGAATAAGGCTGCCATTTGATTTATTTCAGAAATGATAAAGCACTCTGTCACTAAACTCTTGTTCTCTCCAACAGCAGCTGAGCCACTAAACTGATGACATGCGGATTAACCAAACAGTCTAGCAAATCATTGGTAGAAAGGGCTGTTTGCGAGGCGTTTGGACTGCTGTCTGAATCCATTTGATGTGCAGGCGTTTCACAGTCATTACTCATTACCAATTGCTTCCTGGTGCAGTGTAACTTTCCAAAATGTCCTCCTTCATTTTCATGGGGATCTCTACTGTCACTTCCAACTGCAACTGCACCCATCGAGCTTGTTTCTTGAGACTGTGGTAAAACTTCAATAAGATGAGGCCCAAAAGGTATTTTCTGCAACTTTTCTGCTTTAAATGTTGAAAAGCCAAATTCATGGGTTAGTAATCTGCAGCCCTCTGGTTCACAGCCAACTTTCTTTTTCTTCCTCTTGCGTGAGGCGCTTGTCCTTTGCTCTGCACCAGTGCTGCTGGGACGTGCCTGCTCTGACACACTTGCCTTTTGGCAACTGAAATATGCAGACACTGCTTTATTCAGGTACTGTAGATTGATTTCATGGGATGTTGCCTCAACCTAAGAAAACACCCAGGATACACTCAGTTAAAAGGAGAAGGTTTCAATTCAGTGTTGCATGATTATCTTCCATTAATTACTTTTGCTACGTGAAAGGAAGGAATTTAAAATTCTCTTTCTCAGGCAGCAGAAAGACTCAGGGGGAGCTAAGCAAAATGTCAGTAATTCTCTGTTATCACTGCTATAACGGGAGCAAGAGAGGGCTTACCTCTGTGGGATTTAGCCAGAGATCTCCATCACCGGGATTTTCTGCTGATTTTACGGCACATACCAGCATTCGAGTTATTGCTTCTTCTACACGGGCTTCATGATCTGCATCCTGCCTCAAGGGAACAGAAAGTGTTTGGAGATAGGTTAGCACTTGGGTCTCTGCAGAAACGTCGAAGTTCTTGGGAAGAACTAAATGGATGGCCTTAGTTTGAAAGCCATACTCATGTATATGAAGCCAGTGAAAGGCTTCAGACTTTCGATGCTCCTACACATGCGTACAGCTCCCACATGAGTAACAGCACAGGCTTTGGTGTGACTACTTATCTGAATAAGGATTTGCAAAAAATATTCTAGTGTGTGTATATAATTTTTTTTCTTACTAGTGTTCTGTTAATTGAATCTGGTGCTTGAAATTACAATGCAATGTTAGCATTTAATTAATGTATGCATTTATATAGCTCTTTAGGACTAGAAGGACCTTGAAAGTACATAGCAAATTTTATATATCTACGTATTATGTCTAATTTAAGTACTTAAAACACACAGGATGTTACAGCAAGGCAGCAACTATCTGGGGGCTACAGAGGCACAAAAGTGAGTCTTAAGGAAATCCAGCAAATATTTTATCATGTAACAGTAGCTGACATAACTGCTGCAGTTTTAAACGTAAGCAGAAGGAAAAACATGTTTCCTCTGAAAGCACTCCTGCAAAACTAAATACTAAGTTAGTAACTGGTTCTTTGTTTCAGGCCTTCACTTTCTGCATCATCCCCTTGTGCAGCTGGGTACTAGCTAGTTTAGGATAACCGAACAAAACTTTATAGGACCTTTTTAAGCTTTCTTTCCTACTTAACTGGATTTCTAGTATGTGGAAGGAGACAATAAGACTCCAAACAAGATGGGTGATATAGTTATTTCAATGACAAGTGCATAGAAGTGGGTAAGTAAATTTGCTTTCATTGAGATGCTTAGACATAGAAGTTTTGGAAGAAAGATGTAACCTTGTCAACCCACAGCCCTGAACTACCTAATTGTGGCTTTGGGGAACGTCAAGCAAACCATGCATCTTGCTAGTATGAGTGTTGAAGACAGTAATTAATTCTGGAACCCTGAGCAGAATTTGGGATAGAAGCAGGGGGAAGTGCTCTTAGTATTTTGTGGCTTTGGATGCTTGGCTTATTAATGGCCTTGTATAACAAGCCCCCAAAACAGAGTTTGGTATCTACATGTGGAAATTATTTAAGGTGTTGCACTCTTGGTATTAATCCTGGTCTGCAGAATAACAGGGTTGTACTGATTGCATGAGAGCATATTAGGAAGCAAGGAATACTTTGAGTAGCTCACATCCAGCTGAAAACAAATTTAACTTCTACTCTAAAGTCTTGCCAATATAGTTAATGGTTTCACTAGGACTATAGATGTTGGTGTGATTCACATCAACTGCTTTCATATTGGCAGGTAAAGCTGCAAGCAAGAACTGCTTGATTTGGTAATGGAAATGTTCTCAGTATTGTCTTTTAGCATCCATGTCAGAACTTATTTTCATAGATGGACTGCCCAACACCTAACAGGGCTGCTATCATCAGCTGTAGGGATACTTTCTGTAAGGAACTTTCACCTGGGTTGCAATAGCTACACTTGTTTATGGCAGCTTTTTATATCTGGGGAGGGAGAGTGTCTGTGTCATTCATTAGCAAGATCCAGCAAACACTCCTCTGCTCATGATGCCATACACAACTACCTGCTCTCGCTGTCACCAAACAGGATCTTGGCGACTTGTGCAAGACCTTTACGACCAGAAAGGCCATGGAGTTTAGCTCCACTATTTTTTTTTTTTTTCCTTGCAGCACATAAGAACAGCTAGAAATGCTATAGCTAACACACCACCCAGCCACCTGGGAGTTACCAGCCTGGCACAACTGATCCAGTCCTGACCTGCTCCTCCAGAGGGGGACAATTTGTGAAGCACAGCTTAGGGTACAAGTGTGTGTGTTGACGTCAGGGTCCTTCCAAGCACGGGGCACACAGCCAGTTCCTCTGAATCACCTCAAAGGCTGCTCCAATTTAAAGCAAGCTTAAATGATTGCCCTACAACATTGTTGGTGCTCTCCCTGGCACTGGACGCGGCCTGACTGTACTTAGGGCTATATAAGAACTCGGTATGGGCTGTCAACCTGCTGTCATTTCTAAAAACAGTCTCATCTGGAAAATTTCTCCATGAGGGCAACACCCAAGTGAATTCCTCTACTCTGCAAATGCTTGGTTTGATGTTGGTGTAAGAAATGTGTAGTCTTTGAAGAGCAGTTGAACACGTGTTCATTCCCCTGCAGATTTCCAGTCTAATAAAGGGTTTTTTTTAAAAAAAAAAAGAAAAAAAAAAAGGCAATAAGTATTTTAGTGAGGCAGCTTTCACAGGCCGTTTCAAAGGGTCTTTTTTATATTAAGCTAGGATTAATGATAAAGTTATTTGAATCAGAAAACCTTCTGGAGCATTGAGATGATATCCCTGGAACCATCCCATACATACTGGTTAACATGAGCAAGAAAAATCAAAGCCTGGGGAAAAGAAAATTAATTAAGTACTTGAGAAAATCCAACTCCAGGCAAATGAAAACTATCACAGAGAAATGCAAATTCTAAAGTCCTCTGCCCCTTCTTATCACATTAATCTGGTTTAAATTCTAATTTAGCTTTGCATGTAAGCAAGTGCTTGAGGTGAAGCTGTTGTTTTGTCATTCACTATTCAGCACAAAGGTAGCTAGTCCATAAGAAACTGGACATGAAAAGTTTAGCTTGTGTTTAATTGTTTGCCTGATTGAGGTAAATTTGCACGTGATTTCTGTTGAATTGGGGCTTCAGATCTGGAACCTTGGAAGGTTCTTCAGGAAAAACTGTATCCATAAGGGCTCTTCCCTCACCAGCCTCTGAATACAGCACACCCAATAGGGCTGAACCTGGCAGGCAAGGGACAAAATGCTTCAGCCTTCATCCTTACAAAAGTTCCTGCTCAATGCAGCTAAGTAGGAAATGCAGCTTGAGTACTGACTGGCATAATTTCTCTGCTCAGGTCATATTCTTTTCACTGTTTTCTTGCTAGAGATGCTTCTTTTTTCTCCCTGCACTTTCTCTAGCAAAAACCTTGAATTGAACATTGTGCTACTGGCAAAGCATAGCTGCACTTTAGTGGTGGCTGACAAATGATGCTGGTAGAACAGGCAAGTCTGCAAAGTTTTCTGGGATCCTGAGGATAATAGATGCTATGTAAATGTAAGTACCATTGAAACTGCTCAAAAGTGTTTCATGAGATCATCAAATCTGGGACAGGATTGTGTCAGCTTTCCTACTCTTTATAATATATGCAAACATGGAAGTGCTACATCACCATGACATAAAAAGGAAAATACCAGTTCAATCCAAGAGTTTATGCTGATGGTGATGGGGTCAATGGATTCCACATAGTGCCACCAGTGCCTTGGAACAAGCAGGACCTGGAATCGGAGACATCACATTAGGGTACTAGCAGAGGCAGAATGAGACAAGGAACAGGGGTGGGTGGTGATCTTTCTTTATTTCTTTCTTCTAAAGAGCCTTTTCTCAAGACTTAAATGCCCACTCTCTCCTCCATTGTATCAATATTATCATATAAGAAGTAGACATGATCCAGAACTACCTCTCATCCAAACTCCTCCTCATGTGAAGCAGGATTGTAACCTTCTAGCTGTTCTAGGTAAGCAAGGTCTGGCTGTACAAAGGGAGTGCAGCTGGTGTAGCGGTAGAGCAGGGCTTTAGAGAAAGTCTCAGCCAAGCAAGAATTCTTTTGTGGACTCTCCAACTGAGCAGACTTCCCAGTTCCTTTAGCAGGACTGCCAGCTGGCTTCCCCAAAAAGCAGGTATCCTAATGCTCATCTAGGTGATTAACAATATGTAGCTTTAATTCTGGTAAATACTCACCAGTATTAAACTTGTCACTTTTAGTAGATAGGCTTTTAAAAGAAGGTGTCCCAGAAATCATGACAACCTAGTTTAGATCAGAGCTTTGCAACTATTACCAGGATGATAGCTGTGACATAAAATTGATTCTAACCCATGGCTTTTACGGTACAAAGACACTAATGTTGTTTTGATGATATAGTACAAGCTTTACAGATTACTGAACATTAGATTAACATAGAGCTATCAAGAAAAGCATAAAAGATAGTTTTTGACAGGGAATAAAAATGGTCAGAGACGGATAAAAATATACACTTCAGAATGGAGAAAGTGAAGCAATGATCTGTATCTGAATTGCAGACAATTCTTTTTCTGGGTAGACACAAATTACTTAAAAGAATGTTCTGCTACCTAGATAGCCCTGTGCTTCATTATATCAAAACACGGCTAATGAGAAAATGTCTGTGTAGGAAACAATGATTGAGGCCCTAGTCCCACAAACACTTACAGGACGGTCAGAGCACAGTCATTTTTGGGCCACAGGACAAAATGTTCTCCACAGGTTTCAATTTAAGTCAAACAAAAAAAGCATTGGCTCTCTAAAGGTCAAAAACATTTGGAAATTGTACTTTAATCCAGTACAGCATACAAAACAGAGAAGGAAGTCAGTCTGTGGAGGGCCATTATTTAAATATATCACCAATTAGTTATTCCTGACATCTAAAAGTATACGAAACCCTACACAGACTGAAGCCAAAACATGTTTTCTACATAGAACAAGTTTCAGAGTGGCGCTTTTACCATAGAAACCTACACTTTAAATGAAAAGTGCAGTTGCATTAGCTGCAATGGGTTTATCTGTTAGCAACTGCTTGCCCATGTTTCATTGACAGCAGAATCATACAAAAACCATTCATCTGCTCTATAGGGGATCTTACGTTGCACTCTGTTAAAGAATCTGGGTGCCATCCAAATGACAGGGTATAATGAAGCCTGGAAAACTCTGGCGTACAACAGAAGAAGGCATAGCTTCTGGAGTAAGTAGCTGTTTCCAACAACGGGGTCTTTACTGTGAGACTTGCATAGGAAGAGTGAGCTGAGCTTGCAACATGCTGGAGAAGTGGATGAAGACACTAGGGAATTGGGATATGGTGCAGAGGGAGTATGTAGCAACGGAACAAAAGCAAGAGGCAAATTAAGGGAAGTATATAAAAGTTTCAGTAAGAGGGCTGCCTGGAAAAAACAAGATGGAAATTAGGAATGGAACGTGCTGGCTCAACATGATTAACGTGCAAAGTAGAAACAGAATTGCTTTGGGAAGAGGACATATAGCTAGGAGGAAAATACAATCCCCCCCATCTAGTCCAGTCTTTTCAAACCAAAGAGGATGAACTTGGTCTTTAGAGAGACTAATCAGATTTTACTTGCCAGCAGGTTAAGGGTAATAACTGCAAAGTTGTGTACTTCTGCAGCTGGCACTGTTTGCTGATGCAATTTATAGAGGAGCTACAGAGCTGTGACTCAGAGGCAAAACAGGTACCATAAAGATACTTGCCCCTCCCTCTTTATTTTTGGGCAAGCTTATGCTTGTTAAAATAAGGACTTACGGCAGCAAGAACATTGAAATTATCAAAAAGCAAAAGGACTAAAACTTCAAGGAAGACGAAGAAATGGAAAAAAGTAATTAAAACCAAAAAAATACAGCTACTCAAGGGAGCAACAGAACTAACAGAAGACCAAAAAAAGAATCCAGCAAAGAGAGAAGTATAGTAGGATTCTTCTACTTTTACAAACTAGTATTCTTCTAGGTTTGCAAACCAGAAGCAAAAAAAACCCCTACAACAAAACCAAAAGAAAAATCTACCACCACCACCCCCAACTATCAATTCCACAATAAAATAAAGCAGACTTCCATATGTTTATGAATATGGGACACAGATTTAGCTACATTTGAAATTACATTTCAATAGGAAATGTGAAAGTAAACCACAGTGAAATAACACACAGAAAAAATGCATCAAACATTTTACAGGGAAAATGTAAAGTGCAAAAGCAAGACAGAACTTTTCCAAGCTAAGAGACAATTTTGTGTTAGCCTGCTTTCTATAGAATACGTCTAGCTTTGTAGGCTGGGAAGATACTGATCTAAACAGCAACCAATCAGATAATTTTAATATTTAGGCTAGCGATAGGCAAATATAGCACATGAAGTCAAAGTAGGACAGAAATCCCAGAAAAGATAAAATGAAATTCTAGTCTGTAACAGGAGGAAAGAAACCAAAAGAACAGTTGGGAGAGCAAGCGGAGCAATGCTGAAGACTTGTACAGCACAGAGAACAGAACGGGTTTAAATTCTCAATGGACATGATTAACTTGATACAGTGCAAAGGTAGGGCAAAGGTGGAATTGCTTCAAAGAGAGAACATACCCTGAAGTGAAATATTATACCAAGAAATTCCTGCTCATTAGGAAAAGATATTTGTGTAAATGTGCAAGAAAAGGAAGCACCAAAGAATGGCAGTGTGATGGGAAGAAAAAGATGGGGGGCTGTGGGGGGACCCAAGCAAATCCCAGAGCTGCTTGCAACCCTGGCAATGAAAAATAAAATAAATGCATGCACAGCCAACTCTGTGGGAGCGCTGCCACCCCAGCCCATGCCCCGTCTAGCCGGTGTCTGGCTGCCCTGGAGCTAGGAAGGTGCTTCTTACCCTGCCTCCCTCCTGAGCTGGTGTCTTCCCACCCACTGAAACAGAGCGCCTAGGGCCACTGACAGCAGAACCACAGACACAGTCCTGGGGAGAAGCACTGCGGACAGGAAGGGAATGGGGCTGTTACCATGCTGTGTCCATAGTGACCCAGGTGAGGGATCGAGGGAAGCTCAGGGAAAAGGTGGAAAAGTAGAGTCAGGAACTGGCAGCTTTCACCTTTGGTTTGCTCGACTTTTTGTGCACTCATGGGGTTCTCCATGTGTGTTGCAGGCCAAGTGGTGTTTTCATCACCAAATTCTCTGTCTCTTCTGTGATGGAGATGATACTTCTGGTGCCTGGAGGATGAGCTGGTCTGTCTGCCATGTTGAACAGAGCCTTCCCTATGGGGTGACCTGAGGCCAGCTCTGTCATCTCCCACATGAAAATCCCCTCTTCTTTCCCCAAAACAGAATTATCAACCATCTACTATGCATAATGCTGCAGAAAACTCTGAATTCTCCTTTACTAAAATCACTTAAACTCTTCCAACAAAAGCAGTTTTTCACTGCAAACCCTTTTAAAAAGTATTTTATATACTCTGAACTGGAACATTTTATTGCCTTTTAAAAAAAATTTGAACTACCGCATTTCCTGACTTACTACACCACCTTTTTTTTATTTTTCTTGATTATTGAGACTGTTCTGCTGCTCCCCACTTTAAGCACAGTCTGAAGTTGTCACCCCTTTTCTTTAAAGGGTGGCACATAGGGAAATCCCTCCCTGACTTCATGAAGATTTCTGCTTGCTCAGGGTTGGGTTGGAAGTCAGAGGTCTGCCTGCACTGTTGTGAGCTCTGGCTGCCAAGGTGGATCCCACGGTGTGTTAAGATACTGCAGTAGAACAGAAAGAGAAAACCCTACAGCTATACACAGGAACTTAGTGATAACTGTAGTTGTGGACGCAGACTGAGTTTGAGACATGCTTCTTTAGACTTTCAGAAAGCAGGCAAGAAAAGCAGGGAGGAGAGCTTCTGAGCAGCAGACCACGGTGAGAGACAGTAAGTAATAACATTGATAATTTTTTAGATCACTCTTCCCATACTGTGACAATGTTTTTCAAGGCTGGAAGGGAGCATCCTTCTCGGACTCGATGTGCCTCTGAGATTAGCTCAGTTAGGTCTTTCCTCACATCTCTGGTGTCTAGAGCTGCACCGCAGCTCCTCTGGCTCCAGGCTGCATCTGGGACACAGGGCCAGGAAGCAGGAGAGCAGGCAGCAGGGCAGCTGAGTGCTGCCTGTAACAGCATGGGTCCTGGTGTCCGCTACCCCTCCTGTCTGGGGTAGCATGAGGGAGAATGGCATTACTCATGGGAGTCCAGTGTACAAGGTGCTTGCTCTCCATTAGGAGGTCAGATGTGTGGAGCCTCACATGTCTACCTTCAGACAAGCTGAGATGTGCTTTCTCGTCTTTTTTACCATTGTCTAGTTATATGGATGTGGATTAAGAGGAAGATGGATTAAGAACAATTACATTAGCAAGCAGGAAGGAAGCAAGAAGCTGGTGAGAAGCGGGCAGAGGAAAGAATGAGCAATGATTTTGTATTTGTATAGCATCTCAGTTTTTTGTAGCCTTTTCAGGTGGGATTCATCTCTCTTTTTAATCATCAGAAAAGTTAAGCATCTATGTGCATAGGCTTCTCTTATAGCCTGTGCTGAAGGACAAGATGGGATGAATGTTCCTGCAGGCCTGTAATTGTATAAGACAGGGAGGATGAATTGCCTTGTAGAGGTGCCAGGTTCTTCCTACTGATGGCAGACAGGACATCTGTCCTGGATGGGGTTTAAGATGAGGGTAGCGAATCTTTCTTACCCTAACTCTCTTAACACTTGTCCCAGAGTATGGGGTGGAAGATACTAGAACAAACATGGTTTGCCCCATTTGCGATCTCTTAAGCAGTATTTGTGTATTTGTGAAAACAATCAAGGTGATACTAGAAATACTGTAGAATTTATGAACAAATAAAACAAAATACTAATGCTTTGGGTGAAAACTCACTAATTCAGTGAGCACAAATCCACCAGCAGTCAACCTCGTGCTCCATACTTACCACTCAGCCTTGCAACCTCACATAGGTGGACAGGTCCAAATATTTATAAGGAGCCCCTCTATTTTTGTGATACAACTTGAGCTTGTAACTTTATGGATGTAGTCATGTACAGCTGCAAACTCTAAAACTACTCAGCTGCCTATTTTAATATGTTAGATATCTAAATGTTATCATAATTTGTATCGAGAACAGATTACTAATGTATAACCAGAAGTTGTATGAAGACCTCTGTGGAAATTCAGCCCACAGCCACTGGTCAAGTACAGGATGAAACCTTATTAAAACTGAAGTCTCAGCCAACTACCTAAATTCGTAACAGAGATTCACCTCTGAACAACACAGTGAAAGGGCACAAAGGATGCAATCGAAGTAGGCATTGTGCATTGGTACAATGTTATAGGAAGGAATTCTGCTTTAAAGCCTTAAATGGGTGTAGAAAAATGGCTTGTAGCAAACAACGACCAGAAGGTGGCATTAGGCACATGAAGTTTCTGATATTCAAAGCTGCACTCACCCTACATGCAGGTGCTCTCCTGAATATCTAAGAACACCTTTGTCTTTATTTTTGAACCCTTTATTGCTGCAATATCTAATCCAAAATGTTCTGCGTACCCTCTGGGAAGGAATGGAGATGCTATGTATTACCACAAAATAAAGCTGGCTGCAAATTCTGCAGTAATTGTATTAATTCTACATGAAAACCACTGCTAAGCATGTATCAAGATTGTTATTATTTAGGGATCCTCTCCCTTGTTAACAAAGGCGTTCTTCTAGGTCATTCCTTTCCTCTCCATCAAACGGCAGCAGTCCCCAGCCACCTGCCCCATAAGCTTCTGGATGAGATGCTGGAAAGCATTGCCCAAAAGGCGCTGATAGAATGGATAAAGGCAATACCTCACTGCTCCATCATTGCCTCTGCATTAACTTTCTCCCCAGAAATCCAAACGGTATCTCCTTCACAGCAATGCAGACAACTTGTATTACTGAGCTGGCTCAAGATCTCTATTCCTAGCAAGATTAACTTGTAATTGCTTTAAGCCTAATTAAAATTAAAATCATATTAAAAGTTCACTACCATACTTGATCATTCCAAAGGAGATTGTAAATTGAAATAGGGTTGGGGATCATGGATAATGCAGTGCTGAATGGATGTGGCATTTTTATCAATAGAAAAATTTGTTCTTTGAGCTTTAAATTATTGAACACTGCAACCTTACAAAGTGCAGAATGCAAAACTAATCATTTGCTTTAGGAGTATGACTAGGAGCTAATGTATAGCAAACAATGAAGGTTGATCACAGATTCCCCATTTGCAACTGTACCAGCAGAAGACCATACTCTTCCCAGCTGACAGACATCATCCTCTTGTTGGAAACTACTATCCTGCTCCAGTCCACCATCTCACCAGTTCACAGGAGTGCCCCTCACTCTCTCCTCAAAGTTAGCTAGATTAGCAAAAATCTGTTATTTCAATTGTTGAAGGCAGCTGGGTTTGCCAGCTAGGGGCAAGGGAGCACTTGTATAAGTCGCTGAGCTGGCAGGTCAAAAGAGGTGACAGCATCTGCTAGAAGGGTGAAAAGGCGGTACAAGCGGCAACTCCACTGTCTTAAGCGGTCGGAGCAATGAAAGTTGCAAAATTCCTTTGGAAAGGCCTGACAGTTTGAGATGCGCAGGAGTGTTTTACAAGGACATGCACTGCTGAACAAATGAAAAAGGGTAATTCAGACTCCAAATACAGACCATGGTGATTAAATAAAGAAGGACGCTATTTATGGCAGAAGACTAGGAATTAAGAGTCCTGAGCCCTACTCTCATACTGCTGCTGACTGCCTGTGTGACTATAAGGCAGGCACTTATAACTGAACTTTCTCACTAAAACAGGGTTAATAATATCCTCACATCCTTGTAAAGCACCGTGAAACCTCTGGATGGTGTGTGCTCTAAATGCAAGTATCATCATTGTAATACTCTGCTATTAAAGCAACAAGTTGGCCCAATGTTCCCTGGTGAAGGTTATTCACTATCAAAATATGAGTTCCTTTGCTGGCTCTACACACTCATTAATCAAACACATTTTATGGAACATACAGGTTTCAGAGTAGACAGGTTGGAGTACTGTTCAAGAAAGTTTTAAAGTAGACAAATTGGAGGTGATTGGAAGAACTGTGACAGAATTGGGCAGCCGATTGAACTAACTCTCCAAATGTTTGTGGTTTTTGTACAAAAAAGGCTAGTAAAGTAACTGTGCAAAAAAAGTTCCCATGCTGAGAGAAATGTATCTAAGCCTGAGTGCAGACTGTAGGGAGAGCGGAGTTCCACAGTCAATTTGTTAAGATTTCCTAGCCCTTAATTAGCTAGTTAAATAATTTACTAAATCTTTAAAGTAATGTAAAGCTCATATGTGAATGGTACCTGTCCTGGACTGAGTGTAACCACATGGGCTGTTGCATTCCTAAACTTGGGAAAGCGTTTCAGATCAGGGTTGGCAACGTTGACTTTGCTGAATATGCTGGATTCCTCATAAGGGATCCTCGTGGGATAAAGGAAACTGGTGTCACCAGGTGGGAAGAGGTGCCATCTCTTCCTGGAAATAGAGAGAAGATAAAAATGTATTCAGTGCATGTCAGTTACAGCAAAGAACTAAAGGCAGTAGCAAGGTTTTCAATAAAACATAAATCTGCCTCGCTGTGTGAATCTCCTACGCTGTGAGAACACAGGCAGTGCTTACAGGCTGTCTCCTAAAAGTGTTTTTAAAATATTCCACTTTTTAATTTTTTAACTGAAAAGATTTACAGCTTCTCACAAATTATTTTTAAAAGGCAGATAAAATTAAAAAAAAAAGCTCTTCCATCTGGTTCCTCCTTCCTCCCTTTTACAGAGCAACGTGCAGCATTTCCAGATGCTCAGAGCATTAAAAATTGCTGTATAAACCAGGGGAAATAGTTCTGTTAGAGACAACGTACTTTCATTCACTGAATAAATAGCTGCTGAACCCATGTTTGTTTTAAAAGGAGGGCATTGTGTGTTTACAATGGTAAGAGTAAAGGGGTATGGACATGATCTTCTGTCTCTTATCTTCACCTACAGTACTTATGTGGCTGGTTAGTCGCAAACCCCTCATTCTTAGTAAAACTCACCTTGATGCTCCTATGCCACAGATGGCATAAATAAAAACCAGAGACATTCATAGACATAAGCACCCTTAAACACCTGTATTTTTTTGTTATCAGTACCACATGATGAAAATGTGGCTTGCATGGGCCACTGGGGTTAAGAACTCACTGGCATGACTAAATGCCCAGATAGAGCAGGACAAGGTCATTCTGCTCATGAGGGCACTCGTGTTCCAGGTTGCTCTCTATGCGCCCAAAGAAGCGGGTCAACACACCGCAGTGCTGGGCCAAGCAGAGCTGAGACATGGACCTCATCCTCAGAAGCTAATGTTTCTATTTCACTTACATAGACCAGATCAAAGAGAGAAAAAAGAATATGCCAAAACTGGTGGTGCCAGTTTTACGGGTACTATAAACGAAATATCTTAGCAGGTACATATGTTATTTAGAAATACGAATTTTATATGGCAGTACTTTAGGTGATGGAAATAACCAGAAAGGAATACACAAAGGGAGAATTTATTATTTTTAAGAGGTGCCAGACAATCGGTACAACAGTGACCTATGCACTAAGCAATGGAAAAGTAAAGGCAGTACTTTGCAGCACAGTTGGACAATTTGAGCAGCTCTCCTCTTTGTTTCAGACTTTAGCGAGATCTTTCCTTTTTGTCCCTTTCCTTGGTACTCACTTCTTTCTTTTTGCCTACTTCTTCTGGTTGTCAGTTCCAAGTCACAGATCTGAAAATGGGAGAAAAGCAGCCAAATGGCACAAAAACAGAAGAGACAGGAATAGCAGGATAGCCAGAACTGCAGAGATCGGTGCAGATGGAAGTGCCATCGGCCACTGACATTTCTTGGTAATTACCAAAGCTACTGCTGGGTGCAAGCACAAAAAATAGTTCTCCTGAAACTCAAGCCCTATTGCAACTTTATTTTGCCCTCCAAACTAGAGCCTCTGAAGGGGCAGAGAATAACTAGGTTAGGAGGCTCATGGGTTAATCCTGCAGGCTTATGACAAAGCAATATCATGAAGCAAAAAATTAAGAAGCCCAAGGGATGCAAGGAGGAAATTCAAGATAGCAACAAAGGGCTACGGAGTTGTCCCTGGCTTTCCTGCAAAGGAAAATCTATTTAAGTTTAGCATAAGCTTATATTCTGTTACAAAGCCTGTCTTTGTGAGTCTCGACAGGGAATCTTTCGGCTCTGAAGAAGCACAGGATTCACAAGCTGGTGGAAGTTTGTGATCTATTTATAGCCTTTGCTCTGAAGAGGAAAACAACTTTGTCTTTTCAGGCCACGCAAAGGCTTTAGGCTGCTTCTTTCCCTGCGAGGAATAAGGATTTTGTTCTACCAGAGGGGGAGGAAGTGTCTTGGGAAGGCAGGCAAAATTGCTACATGATGCTGGAACTCTGGCTCGAGTTCAACACCTGAAGGTAGAGATCAAAGAGGCAGGGCAGGTATCAGGTCTGCTAGATTACTGTACTTATTTAGTATACCCAGTACTTAGGTGGATCCTTAGAAGATATCTAGGCACGTAAGTCTCATGGTTTTCAATGAGATTTCTGGCTCCTAAATACACTTAAGTGTCTGGACTTCAATGCATAATGCTTACTGATGCGATCTGAAGTCTACAGGATGGTTGCAGCAAAGCACGGTGCTGAGGGCGGCTTCCAGAGTGCCTCTGCTGCATGTTCACCCAAGGATCTCAAGGCTGTTTATAAACATGAATGAAAACCTGCCTGAGCGCTAAACAGTTACCCTTCTTACAGATAAGATGATGACAAATTCATTTGCCTCAGGCCTTAAAGCCAGTCAGTCTGTGGCACTGCCCAGCATAGAAGCCAGCATGCCTGACTCCCAGTCCTGCACCTTAATCATAAGACCACCACAATTTTACTGTTCTATAAAATGTCAGAGTAATTAATCACATTAAAATCCCATTGACAAATTATTCCTTCCACTATATACTATCAAACCTAAAAAATGCATGCAACTTGTTTTGTTACTCTAGCATTACTCTAGCAATAATAGGTAACAAAAAAACCCTGAGGCCAATATGCAAGGAAAGGAGAAAAAAAAGAATGGGGAAAAAAAAAAAGACAGCATGCAAACAGGCAGAAAGATATAGCAACAAAGCCACATGCTCCAAAATTAGTTTGGAGCCTCAAGTGTCCCTTTCAACTTTGCTCACAGCTGGCTGCTCCCATCCTGATGTTCCCCTTTTAAATTGATTCTAGCAGGATTATTAGAGGCTCTTGCACAGAGAATATCGTAAAAGTCTACAGTAGTTTATTTCTATTTTGTTTCTGGGCTTTTTATTTTTAACTCCTAATTTATCTCCTAATTCCAAATTCCTGAGTTCATAACTAGTAGGAAGATTAAAATGTTTATTATTGGACCACATAACACACAGATCAGGAAAGATCTTCCGCAAACAGAAGAAAATAAAATTGTGTTACCTCTGTGCCCCAGTCAAACTCCAACCCCCTGAAGTTCTGCCATTTCCTATAGAACAGTTCTTGATGCTCTTCAATCGTTGAGAGCTCAGAAAACTAAAATAATCAGGACCTAGAATTAAAACTCAAGGGTCCAAAACTAACTTTATAGCACAGTATAACTTTGTTCTGTATTTGTTGTATGTACATGCACTTGTTACCTTCCTTGTACTTGCAACACTAAGTTGCAGCCATAGGAGTCCAAATGGCAGGGGGTGTTTGCTCCTTCAGAACCAATCCACAGTGTGCTCTCTTTTCCACTTCTTCCAGGAAAACCAAAGTCAGACCACCTTATATCCTACAGCAATGAAAAGGTTATTTATGTAAGCTGTTGAACTGATTCACATCCTTCCCTCAGTTCTCTGAGTCTCTTGTCTTCTCTCCTCCACTGCTCAGTCACTCTTTATCCACTGCAGCTGTTGCTACTTGGTGGGGTTCCCACATGCATGGCCTGTGGCCCTCCCTCCAAAATTCTCCTCTCTAGTAGTGTTTCTTCGGCTGACTTTCTTCTTTTTCTGTCTGACTACACAGCCTCCCAGATCTCTGTCTCCAGTTCTCATCCCAATCTTTCCTATCACTCGTTACCCACTTGCTCTACAGAAGGACTGCCCAACTGCTCGTGGCCAGACATGGCTTCTTTTCCTTCTTTTCAAACACTCTTTTTTTCCTTTCTCCACTCTTAACCATCCACCCAAGCTCAGGATTGCTTTTAGAAAAATTCTGATATATGGCATTTAAAAAAAGAATGAAAGGAAGGAAAGAAAAATCCGTATTCCCTTTTCAAACCAATTTGATAATCCATGTGGCGTATTTGCTCTCTCTTTGCTCCTGTCCCAGCTCTTTCCATGTATTCTGGAAACGCAGACTTTACCCCATCTCTGACCAGTGGTATGCTGGGGTTTTTTAAGGTTCTTATTATTTAATGGACACATTCTTCTCCTGCCTTTGCAACTGCGGAGGCAGTAAACTTAAAACAACTCGATTACATGGTGAGAAAGGGCAGAACAGGTATGCATGTATTATGAACATGATCCTGGAGCTTTCCAGTCCATTGATCATCCCACAAGCAATCCCTTGGGGATGACAGCTGGAACGAGGGACAGTGAGGTATTTTTCAGATAATTCAAGGGTTTGCAGGATAGCTCTGTATAGCTTGGATAAAGCTTTCCCATGTTTCTCTAGCTCACCCTGCCACCTGCAGGGCCTGATCATTTGTTTATTGGAAAGCACTTGAAGTATACTGGCCAGAGATACTGGTGCCTTTTGGCTGGAGGCCCAGACTGAGCCTTAGGAAACAGAGATTCAATTCCTGGCTTCCTGATGGTCTCAGGCAAATCACTTAATCTCTGAGCTTTATTTTTCCCATCTTGAAAAGGAAGATAACGGTATTTGTTCCATTTCAGTAAAGCACTTTGGGGTCACTCGCATCACCTAACTTTAGGAACCTCATTTAAGCTTGGCTCCTGCTCTTGTCAAAGCACTCTCAATCACACCTTGGAAAAGCCTCTCTCTTTCCACTGTCTGTAAAGAGAAAATAGGACTCTAGCCTCCTAATTTAAGTATGTAAGCTAGCTGCTTGCAGACAGGTGGATGACTATCCTTTTTTAAGATCTATGGATGAGAAAAACCACAGCTAGACATTATTGTAAGGATGACTTCACCATGACTCTGTATCAGGAAACCCTCAAAATGAGCAATAGCCTTCCCAAAAATTAGGTGTTGCTAAAGATTTTGAATTTCAGAGTTATTGATTTTAAAGGTAACATATGGAAAAAATGCAGAAGTGTAATATAAACATTTGTCAAAGGCAGCAAAAAATCAAAAAGAAAAAGTTGCTCCTATAGATTTGAGGAGCCATAAAATTTAAAGTCCAATACAACTATTTCAGTGATAAAGTTAAGCGTAACACCATCTCTACACTTTAATCTCACACCTAAATAGTTTTTGTATTTTGTTACAATTTAAGTGGAAAGAAAGCACACATAATCAATATTAGATTTAAAAGAACTTTTTGAAAATGCTGCAGCTGTAGTAAACAGTTGAAGCGATTATGGGTAAAATAGTTTTTAACTAATGAACTGAAAAGGAACTGGTAGGATTACTGAAATCTTGACACAGTGGGTTCCTTTTCTACAATAAAAAGCCACAGTAAGAAGAAATGCACTAAAAGGTGTTCCAACCATAACAGATGGCACATAACTTGTGAATTATATTTATTTCATTTGCTGCTTATAATGAAGTTAATCTGTACCCGTATGTCACTTTAAAAGGTCTCATTTCTATTTAAACTTCACGCATATATCTTGCTTCTGATTTATATCTCAAATTCTGTAATGAAATATCAACTGAACAAAAATTCTAAGATGCTAGATACTGCTCATAGATTAGAATAATGGAATCATTACCTTAGCCCACACAACTGTAAATGATAAACAGTGCTATCTAAATTTCAAACAACTTCTAAATGGCCCTATTGATCACTATAAATAACAGTGCAGTTGGCCTTCTTTTCCCCTTCAAATCACCTTACGTAAATCTAAATAAAATCTAAAAAGAGAAGAGGGGTTATCATCAAATTCACACAAGAATGGAAGAGAATTTCTACAAAGAACTCTTTTGGCTGGTATAAATTGTGTAGCAGTGTTTCAAAAGCCTTATGAGTCTGGAACTGACGGATGCATTTCACTCCCATGCCTGTGAAACTGGCAGATGACATACAGCATATTTGCTTGCATAACATCAGTGATTTTTTCCTCTCCGGATTCTGCTTTACAAAAAAATCCACGGCATAACCATTACGCGTGTCTATTCTAAAATCACAGTACAATCTGTTGCTTCTTATAGGTCAGGTGATGGGGTTGTGGTGTGACACCTGCACTGAAATGCAATTCCTGGAGCCTCAATTTTGTTCTTGAATGGGGGCAAGGGGAAGAAGGAAGTAGGAAAATGGTTGTTTCCTTCAAGTGTGTTTTTATTGACTGAATGAAGCAGCAGGCTATTCAGGTCTTCTGAGCTGCTATTATCTTGTGCCATAAAACACAGGAAAATGCTGTCTGTTGAGGCAGAAAGGGAGGAGACCAAGGCAGGACCACAGATAGAGGAAGACACTCAAAGGTCTGGGGAAGCCTGAAACATCCCTGGAGCTCCCAACTTAGTTCAAACAACATGACTCAGTACCAGTTGTGCAGCCCAAGTTTATGTGATCCTGGTTGTGTTTCAGTGTGCTTAGGAAGGGAGGGGAGAAAGAAAGGTAAGATGGTCTCTGTGCCCAAACCTTACCTTCCAACCCACAGAACAACGGGAAGGAGACAGTCTGAAAAAAGACTGAGCACTGAAAAATACAAATTTTACTGGTATAAAAGAATAAAATACATATAAGGAGCATGGGAAATGTTTTCTGAGGAAATAATTAATTTGAGAGGGCTTATCGGCTTATCAGTTTGTACTCTGTCATCCCAGTGATACAGTGTTTGCAGAGAATTATGATTCCATCTTCACATTTGAAAGTATAAAAATGAGTAAGGCTTCATTTACTATTCTTTTTTAATATCTTTTGAAAAAATACACCTTTTGTATAGCTATCCTTAATTTTGCCCTCCTACAATTTGCAAGGAGAAGTAGTAGGAATGTAGATGAACCAGTACATTGAAATAGCAGATGGACATGGAGAAAGTAGAAGAAAATACCCCAGGTAGGTGTCCTAATACCTGCATTTGGAAATTACCATAGATTATGTACTTGCACAGACAGGTTACTTCATGTATTTTACTGCATCCACAGACAATCAAGGTATAATAACCCCGCAGACTCAGAATCTCTCCTCCTCACAGTTAATCTAAATATATGAAGGGAAGGAACTGTGCTGCTTGAGAAAACGAGCCACAAGGCAAAACACGGAGCAAAACCATGTTACAGCCTTGTTGCTACAAATGAATCCATGCCATCAAATCCTCCCTCCTGAGGGGAGCTGTTAATTCGGATACCATTTGGGTACAAGGTGGATCTGGGGCAGAAGCAGGGCCTCAAGTTTGCAACATGCCAGGCCTGCTGGCTGCCTGTCATCTCCACACCGTATTCCCACCACACTTCCATGCCTTTGGCAGAGGTGCAGGGAAGGTGTTCAGCTGGAGAGGTCACACACATGACTCAGTGCTCCCCAAGCCTGCCCAGTCACAAAATGATGCTGGGCTAAATGGGAAGGGGAATGCTGCCAATCTGGTAGTTGTTTTTGTCACTTGTGGTGGTGTTTTTAAGCATATAAGGAGACCCAGAATTTCAGACGGCTACCACTTGGTACTAGTTCTCCGTTAGCCTGAGCGCCAATAGCTTTTATTTCAAAATTTTAAAATAAATGGCCAAGGAGCAGTAGAGGTTCAGAAGCTACGCTAGATAATTTGCAATGACTAACTAGGAAGAGATAATATTAATGTCTTACCTGGAAAATTTCTGGCTTGTCTTCAAATATCCTGGCAATGTATTTGTAGTCAGCGTAAGCCCAATATTTGGAGTACTCGTAACAACTGAATGGTCCAGAGAGACAAGAAGGCTGCCCACAACTCCAAGCCAAAAACTCTTCAAGTGTAGCCTTCACGTAGCTACACCTGGTTTCAAACTGGGGAACTAGAGCAACAAAAGAAAAGCCAAATATTACATGAGCATTGAACACAGATCTAGTAAAAATAATATGTAGTTTCTCTCTCAGCTCTGGTTAAATTGCTGGGAGTCTGTTATAGACCACCCAACCAGGATGAAGGGGCGGATGAAGCATTCTACAAGCGGCTGGCAGAAGTCTCTCAATCGCTAGCCCTTGTTCTCGTGGGGGACTTCAACTTCCCGGATGTCTGCTGGAAATACAACACGGCAGAGAGGAAGCAGTCTAGGAGGTTCCTGGAGTGTGTGGAAGACAACTTCCTGACACAGCTGGTAAGTGAGCCTACCAGGGGAGGTGCCTCGCTCGACCTGCTGTTTACAAACAGAGAAGGACTGGTGGGAGATGTGGTGGTCGGAGGCCGTCTTGGGCTTAGTGACCATGAAATGATAGAATTCTCGCTTCTTGGTGAAGTAAGGAGGGGGGGCAGCAAAACCACAACCATGGACTTCCGGAGGGCGGACTTTGGCCTGTTCAGGACGTTGGTTGAGAGAGTCCCGTGGGAGACGGTCCTGAAGGGCAAAGGGGTCCAGGAAGGCTGGACGATCTTCAAGAAGGAAGTCTTAAAGGCGCAGGAGCAGGCTGTCCCTGTACGCCGTAAGAAGAACGGGCGGGGAAGACGACCGGCCTGGCTGAACGGGGAGCTCTTGCTGGGACTCAGGAAAAAAAGGAGAGTGTACCACTTGTGGAAGAAGGGGCAGGGAACTCAAGAAGAGTACAGGGATCTCGTTAGGTCGTGCAGAGAAGAAATGAGAAAGGCAAAAGCCCAGCTAGAACGCAATCTGGCCGCTGTCGTTAAAGACAACAAAAAAAGTTTTTACAAATATATTAATGACAAGAAGAGAGCCAAGGAGAATCTCCATCCTTTATTGGATGTGGGGGGGAACAT